TCTTTGACACTCATATTATGTGTTAGATGGCCTATATACAATTTTAATTAACAAATCTAGCGTCAAGGGAAAATAAAAATATAGTAAACTTATCATCTGTCTCTGAAAACAAAAAAAGTAGATTAAACAAACACACCTCTAGTTAATCTATTTGATTAAAAAACAAAATTGAAGATGAGGAAGCTAGGAGCTAGAGACGCAGGATTTGTTTTCAAAAGACCACACACAAATTGGCGTCACTATTTCAATAAATGCTAGAAAGGCCATTGGTAAAATTTTAAACATCTATCCCAGCTGGGGGAAAAATGGAAGTTAGACTAGAAGAAACCTTATTTTGTATTACTCAAAATACCTGGCTCAAACTTACTACCACCGCCGCCCACTCTGCGTCAATCTCCAGGCGCAGCCGTTATTCTCCACAGAACAAGAACGTCCGCCGTGAACGCCTGGGCCGCGCGAGGGAGAGTGACTCCGGCAAGGGGTGACTATCACCGTTAGAATTTTTCATTGACAAAATTACCGTCTACCTAGAAATACGAAGCTAATACACTGCTACATTACTAAAGGGTTCAACACGCGTCTCATTACGATGCAAACACAAAATTCAGCACTTTCGTGTATACCTGCAATAAGCAACTAGAAGGTTCGATGGGAGAAAGCGATCTCGTCACAAAGGCAGCAGCAACGGCAAAACAGAGAACGCGACTCCATTCCCAGCGCAGCGCGAGCAGCGGCGTCAGAGCGGTGTCTGAGGCCGGCCCGGCACTACGGCGCCACCTCCCCGTGGCCTGACGTCACGCACGCGCACGCGCCCCGCCCCGCCCCATTAGTCCTGCGCCCGCCCCTGCCGCGCACGCACGCACACGCACCCCTCACACACACCGTGACGCACGCGCCCCAGCCTGGCGTTCAGGCCGCACCCCGCCCCCAGCCCGTCAGCCGCGCGCCCCGGGATCCTAGAATCGGCGTTTCCCCGCCGGCGCCCCAGCCGCCACTCCGTGACGGACACTTCCGTGACGGGCCTTCCGCCGAGAGCGCGCTCGTGACGCACGGACCACGCTCCTTCCGCGGGGCGGCGCACAAGCTCCTGGGAAACGTAGTTCGGCCTTACGTCCCCCTTAGGCTGGACCGCGGGCGCCTGGAGGCGGGCGCCGAGGATGGGTGAGCGTGCAGGGCGGTGGCTTGTTCAACCGGGATGCGTCTCGTGGGCTCAGCCTCGCCCGCTGAGTTCTCCTGCGTGCAGGCGTCGCCTCACGGAAGTTTGGGCCTCGGGGAGCCTGCCTGGGAGGCGGCGGTGGGAGAGGCCCTTGAGGGAGGAGGGGCCCCTTACCGGGTGCGAGTGGCGCGCGGGGACCAGGGGCGCGAGGGGCGGAGGGGTCCCGGGCTGGCTGTGTGTGCCACGCAGGGAGCGCCGGGGGACCGGGGGCGCGCGTTTGCCTCCTTTTCTAAGCAACACGGGAGGGCTGAGGGTGCACGCCTCCCTGTCCAGCAGCCTCTTGAATCTCCAAATCTAATAATGGGTTGAATCACAGCCATAGTTTTTTTCACCTATTGCATTATACTCTGGTGTATTCAATTGGCTGTCTCCCTTTGACTTCACTTATGCTCACAAGATTGCATTTTAATCTTTTTGTGTACTCTCCTTGCTCGTTATACTAACAAGATTTTATAAACTTCATAATAATTTGGACAGCACAGTCTCTTCTATTCTGTAAAACAGGTCACCACCCCCCACCGCCCCCCGCCCCGCCTCCAAAAGTTTGGTACAATTTGCATGCAGAACCTTTGGTCTTATTTAGTACGCGTTTAACTTCTGACTCAATTTTTGTTTGTTTTGAGACGGAGTTTCGCTCTTTGTTGCCCAGGCTAAAGTGCAATGGCGCGATCTCGGCTCACGCAAGCTCCGCCTCCCGGATTCAAGTGAATCTCCTGCCTCAGCCTCCGGAGTCGCTGCGATTACAAGCATGAGCCACCACGCCGTGGCTAATTCTGTATTTTTAGTGGAGACGGGGGTTTCTCCGTGTTGGTCAGGCTGGTCTCGAACTCCCGATCTCAGGTGATCTGCCAGCCTCCCAAAGCGCTGGGATTACAAGAGTGAGCCACCGCACCCGGTCCTGACTCAGTTTTTTAAAAGTCTCATTGATTAGGTATTTTAGTTTGTATTCTGTTTTAGATACCTTTTCCTAGATAATTGTTTTTAGTGTAATTTTTCAAATTTATTGGCATAAAATTGCCCATGCTATTTTATCACTGTAAGTAATTTCTGTGGTGATTTTTAAAATCACTACTTTTTAATATTTTAAAATAACTGCTGTAATTGTTTTTTTTTCTTTTTTGAACCTAATTATCTAGGTGTTCTTTTTTTCTTGATTACTCCTATAAGGTATCAGTGTACATTAGTCTTTTCAAAAATGTAGATTTGGTTTTGTTTTTTTTTGTTGTTTTGGTCTTTTTTGGGGGGGGGGGTCCTGTTACAGTAAGTTTTGCTCTTAATTTTAAAATTTTCTTTTACTTTGTTGCTGTTTTCCTACCTTTTTTTTTTTTCCGAGACAGTTTCACTCTGTCTCCAGGCTGGAGGGCAGTGGCATGATCTCGGCTCACTGTAGCCTCCGCCACCTGGATTCAAGCAATTCTCCTGCCTCACGCCCCATCAAGCCCGGCTGATCCGGCCAATTTTTTTTTTTGTTTTTGAGACAGAGTCTCTCTCTGTCGCCCAGGCTGGAATGCAATGGCAGGATCTCGGCTCACTGCAACTTCCGCATCCCAGGTTCAAGCCATTCTCCTGCCTCAGCCTCCGCAATAGCTGGGATCACAGGCGCACGCTGCCATGCCCGGTTAATTTTTTGTATTTTTCAGTAGAGACGGGGTTTCACCGTGTTGCCCAGGCTGGTCTCGAACTCTTGAGCTCAGGCAGTCCGCCCGCTTTGGCCTCCCGAAGTGCTAGGATTACAGGCATGAGCCACCACACCTGGCCATCTGCTTCTTGATTTGACTGGGTAATTAATTTATTTCTATTTATGCTCCAAGAAATGTGTGTGTACATTTTTAAGAGCTGAATATGTTGAAAGACTCATAATAAAAAAAAAGGAACACCTTAACCCCATCTCTTCCCAGTGGCAACCACTTGAAAATATTTAAGCAATTCTGGCTTCGAACTCCTCTCAGTATTTTTTTATTCACTGATTTCAGACATTATTTTTAAATAAAAACTTTGGCTGCCTTCTTTCCACATCCTTAAATCACAATGTAATTATCTCCCACAAATTTTGGATAAATATGTTCAGTGTTTTCATTTGATGACTAGTCTGTAGTACTGAACCATAATGTTTCTTTCTTGTACAAGGTTTACCTTTCTTGTTTATAATGACTGCCTTTTTTATTCATTTACTTAGGTTTTCTTAAATCTATGTAAAATGTCTTTTGGTTCCATTTTCCTCAAGGGCTAATCTGTCATACAGTCTTACCACTTTTCTCCTTTTCTGGACATCCCCCTACAATGTAGATTGATCAGTTACTCTGTAGGCATGCGGCACACTGGCATACCACTGGGCTTCCCTTTTACCCTCATCAGTTTCCTCATCTCACCTCTGTGTTAGATCTCCTGTTTCCTATAAAGCACTTCTATTCCTGTTTGCTGGATTGTAATCTTACTGCCTTGAAAAAGGGTCCATATGATCTACATATATTAAAGTTGTAGAAATGAATAGAAATTACTTTGTCCTCACATTTGTGTGGTGTTTTCACCTAGTATACAAATCTCAGTGGGAAGTTACTTTCCATTAGAATTTTGAAAGCCAGTGAAGCTGGATAGGAAATGGGGCAGTGTTACCGTTACTGTTGAGAAGTCCTATTTCATACCTGCTAATGTTGCTTTCTGTGTAATCTGTTTATCATCTCTTGGAGCTCTTTGGTATTCAAAGATTTCATGATGATGTGTGTTCTAATATTTAAAGAAATTACTTGCTTTGATGGATAAATTCTTAGATACTGTGTTTTTTAAAGGAATAAGAAGTTTCTGGCTGGGCACTGTGGCTCACGCCTGTAATCCCAGCACTTTGGGAGGCCGAAGTGGGTAGATCATGAAGTCAGGAGTTCAAGACTAGGCTGGCCGAGATGGTGAAACCTCGTCTCTACTACTAAAAATACAAAAATTAGCCAGGCGTGGTGGCCGGCACCTGTGATCCCAGCTACTTGGGAGGTTGAGGCAGAGAATTGCTTAAACCTGGGAGGCGGAGGTTTCAGTGAGCTGAGATTGCGCCTCTGCACTCCAGCTTGAGTGACTCTGTCTCAAAAAAAAAAAAAGGTTTCCCATATTTGTTTCTTCCTCCCTTTTTTTCTTTCTGGAACTCTGAGTAATCTGGGGTTGGACCTTAAAATTGCTCATATAGTTGTCTTTTTTTCACTTACTCTTGTTCTTTTAGATCAGCTTTATTCATTTATTTATTGAGACAGAGTCTCACTGTGTTGTGCAGGCTGGAGTGCAGTGGCACATCTTGGCTCACTGCAGCCTCTACCTCTTGGGTTCAAGCAGTTCTCCTGCTTCAGCCTCCCGAGTAGCTGGGATTACAGGTGTGCACCAACACATCCAGCTTTTTTTGTTGCTGTATTTTTAGCTGGGACAGAGTTTCACTATGTTGGCCAGGCTGGTCTTAGACTTCTGACCTCAAGTGATTCGCACACCTCGGCTCCCAAAGTGCTGGGATTACAGGAGTGAGCCACTGTGTTCAGCCAAGATCAGCTTTCTAGAAAAGTTCCTTAAGTTTATTTTTTTTCTTTTTTTTTTTGTTTGAGACGGAGTCTTGCTTTGTTGCCCAGGCTGGAGTGCAGCGGCGCAATCTCGGCTCACTGCAAGCTCCACCTCCTGGGTTCATGCCATTCTGCCTCACACTCCCGCTTAGCTGGGACTACAGGCGCCTGCCACCACGCCTGGCTAATTTTTTATATTTTTAGTAGAGACGGGCTTTCACAGTAGCCAGTATGGTCTCAATCTCCTGACCTCGTGATCCGCCTGCCTCGGCCTCCCAAAGTACTGTGATTACAGGCATGAGCCACTACGCCCAGCCCTAAGTTTATCTTTTAACCCTTGTACCTTTTGGGGGAGTTTTTACATTATAATTTTTAATTTCCTGGGAAATTACAAAAAAATCCATAGAGTTCTATTCTTATTTCATAGAGGAAATATCTCTGATTATTTTTCAAATTACGAAATTTTCAAACACATATACAAGTATAATAGTATAGTGTACCAATCATCCTATTTTGTTGTTTCCTGATGAGAAGACATACATATTTAGCATTAGCCAGCTGGACTCAGTTTAGATTATTCAATTTTGTTGGCAACATCCAGAGCATGGTAACCAGGAGCCAGTCAAACATATGCCTTCTTCTTTCCATCAGGCTTGATCAAGGTGTTGGCCTTGGCCACATCAGTGTCATAGAGCTTCTTCACAAGCCTGTGAGGAAGGCTTGTTGTTGGCTTTAAGATCCACAATGAGCACAAGTGTGTTACATTCTATCTTCTTCATGGCAGACACTCAGTAGGAATTTGATGATAGCACAGTGGTCAATCTTGTTTCTCCTGAGGGTGCTCTTCTGAAGATACGTGGGCTGCCTCCAGAGTCTCAGTTCTTGGGCTGCTAGAAGGTGAGTGACATGTGGATCTTCTTTTTTTTGGTTGCTGTGGATGCCTTTCACCACTGCCTTTTTGGCCTTCAAAGCCTTTGCTTTGGTTTTAGCCTTAGGAGAGGCAGGAGTTTCCTTCTTCACCATCAGCACCATCTTGTGAAGAAGGCCCCATTGTTCTATTTTGAAGCAAATCTTGGACATTATATATTATTTGTAAATAGCTCAAAATGTATCTCTGAATGATAAGTACTCCTTCTTAAGTAGGATATTCTCACACCTGCAAAATTTGTAATTCCTTTATATCAAATTTATAGTCAAAAGCCAGGGAGTGGGGTGGGGAGGGTATGCCTGTAGTCCCAGCCATTCCGGAGGCTAAGAGGCTAAGGTGGAGGATCACTTAAGCCAGGATTTCAAGGTCAGCCTGGCCAATATAGTGAGACTCTGCCTCTAAAAAATAAGTAAATAATAAATATATAGGCAGTGTTCAGATTTTTCTGTTTTCTCATGAATTTTTAAAATTTATTTCTTTGACTCATGGTCCAGATAACGTTTATACAATTTGAAGTCTTTATGGTTTTTCCATAGAAAAATTATGTCTCCATGTTGTTTTAATTCCAGTTTCTCTTGCTGTCTGCTCTTTTGAATATGCTGTTGTTGCTTTGAAGTTTGTTGTTTTCTATTTCTTACATTGTTTCCTCTGAATTCCTCCTTTGCTTTTGTTTTATTCCTCCACCCCACTGCTTTCTTTTGAGTTCAGCTTACATCCTTTTAGTAGTTCCTTCAGGAACTATCTTGAGTGGTAAACACACACACCCACATAGATGCCTTTTATATTGCTCTCAGTCTTTAGCATACAGTTGAATTCTAGGTTGTTGTTGTTTTCCTTTAGTACTTTGAAGATACTATTGTATTGCCTTCTTGGCCTCTATCTTTGCAACTGAGAATTCTGTAGTCAGTATAATGGATATTCCCTTGTATATAATTAGCCTTTTTTCTTCAGTAACTTTAAAGTTTTACACATTATTCTTGATATTGTAGTTTACCTTCAGTGTAGCTGGTAGCTGGTATATTTTTAAAATGTATTCTACATGGCACTTGGTATACAGGCTTTCAGATCAAGGACTTATGTATCCTTCTTTCAGCTTGGAGTAAAAACAATCATTATATCTCACATTGCTTCTTTTCTATTTCCTTTTTTTTCCCTCTTCTGGAATTCCTGTTCAACACATATGCACATCTTTAATCCATCTGGAATTTGTGAATGTGAAGGGTGTGTTTTTTTCCAAACAGAAAGCCATTTGTCTTGATATCGTTTATTAAATAGTTCATCCTTCCCCCCACCGATTTAAAGTGACATCTTTGTTATGTACTAAATGTCTAGCTACACATGAATCTGTTTCTGAAGATACTGTTTTGTTTTCTATTATTGCCCTAATATGATTGTTTTACTTACTAGAGATTTATTATGTATTTTGAAATGTAATAGGGTAAGGCATTTTAAAGTATTTGCCTTTTTTATATATCTTTAATTTTCTATAGAACTTTAAAAACTACATTTCAGGAAATCCCTGTTAAATCCATACATTAATCAAAATCCTACGGTGATTCACCTAGTGAATCTCAACATTTATTCAAATTTTTTTTCCTGTTGTTTAGTAAAGTTGTTTAGTGTTTGTAATTAGTCCTATAACTAGAAAAGAAATAAAACTATGAGGAATGAAGGGTTAAACCTGCAATACAATTCTTAACATCTTTTACTACAGGGCAAACATATTTTCTTTCTTGAAGAGGAAGCCTAACTTTCTTTATTGTTATTGTTGTTGTTGTTTGTGTGTGTTTTTGTTTTTGTTTTCGTTTTCAAGCAGAGGATTTCACCCTGTTGCCCAGGCTGGAGTGTGGTAGCATGAACATGGTTTACTGCAGTCTCGACCTCCTGGACTCAAGTGATCCTCCCACCTCAGCCTCCTGAGTAGCTGCGGCTTCAGGCACATGCCACCATAGTTGGCTAATATTTAAATTTTTTGTAGAGACCTAGAGTCCCACCATGTTACCCAGTCTGGTCTCAAATCCCAGGACTCAAGCAATCATCTGTGGTGGCCTCCCAAAGTGCTGGGATTACAGGCATTAGCCCCTGTACCCAACCCAGAAGCCTGACGATTTCCTTTTCCTTCTTGAAAGAAGGGTGTGGGTATGGAAGAAATACCCCCATGTACAAAACCTTAATTATCATAGGTTCATTTGGTTTACTCAAATTGTTGAGTTCTGCCATGGACTGAGGACTCTTCTAGGTACTAGGAATACAGTAAACAAATCAGATAAAATCTATTTCTAAATGAGTTTCCCTAAAGTGACAGACCTATATACACTTCTGGTTTAGGGACAAAGAATCTACCTGTCAAAGATCTTTGTCTAAATAAAAATGTCAATTCTATAATTTTGTCCATTAAAACTGAGTTCTATTGATGTACAGTATTGACAGAGAAGACTTGCATTTGATGGTTAACTACCTAGTCTTCAAAAAGTGAGAACTTTACAAATATTAGTGTAATAAATTGTTTCGTGCTTTGTCGTGATTCTTGAAGTCCCCAAGCATGTATCTTTTGTATTTACACTATATGTTATTTTGTTATTTATATTAAATTCATTATAAAAATTATCCAGGAGAGTACAGTATCTAATATTAATAGTTAGTGCCTCACTCCAAACTTGGGAATGCAGTTCATGGTTCTTCCTTTGTCACTTGACCCCATTCAAGTGTTAGATAGAATAAACTATCATAGATGACAATATGGACTTTAGGGAGGGAGGTTAAACTGGAAGTAATCAAATGAACATCTGTTTCTTTTAAGTTCCAGGGTACATGCACAGGATGTGCAGGTTTGTTACATAGGTAACATATGCTGTACTTATCAACCCATCACCTAAGTATTAAGCCCAGCATGCATTAGCTCTTTTTCCTAATGCTCTCCTTGCTGCCCTCCCCCGACAGGTCCCAGTGTGTGTTCCCCACTCTGTGTCCATATGTTCTCATTGAAATGAACATGTATTTCAAAGTCACATATACACCTTTAACTTCAATAAAATTCCTTGGTAGGGTAGCAGCCAAATTGTCAGTCCTGTAAGGTTATTCTTGTAAACAAGTTACAGAAGAAATTTATATATAACAGGTGTGTTTCACAGGGAAATGATTTTTCTTTTTTTTTTTTTTTTTTTTTTGAGACGGAATCTCACGCTGTTGCCCAGGCTGGAGTGCAGTGGCGCGATCTCGGCTCACTGCAAGCTCCGCCTCCTGGGTTCACGCCATTCTCCTGCCTCAGCCTCCTGAGTAGCTAGGACTACAGGCGCCCGCCACCGCGCCCAGCTAATTTTTTGTATTTTTAGTAGAGACGGGGTTTCACTGTGGTCTTGATCTCCTGACCTTGTGATCCGCCTGCCTCGGCCTCCCAAAGTGCTGGGATTACAGGCTTGAGCCACCGCGCCCGGCCAATTTTTCTGTCCCAAAAAGTTAACTTAAAAAAGTAGCAAGTGGCCAGGCGCGGTGGCTCAAGCCTGTAATCCCAGCACTTTGGGAGGCCGAGACGGGCGGATCATGAGGTCAGGAGATCGAGACCATCCTGACTAACACGGTGAAACCCCGTCTCTACTAAAAAATACAAAAAACTAGCCGGGCAAGGTGGCGGGCGCCTGTAGTCCCAGCTACTTGGGAGGCTGAGGCAGGAGAATGGCGGGAACCCGGGAGGCGGAGCTTGCAGTGAGCCGAGATCGCGCCACTGCACTCCAGCCTGGGCGACAGAGCAAGACTCTGTCTCAAAAAAAAAAAAAAAAAAAGTAGCAAGTAGTACATTAAATTTAATTTGACAGCCATGTGTTTTTACTGGTTGGTTCTCTTCAGTTTTAATTTTTTAAAATAACTCATGCCCCATCCACCCAGAGCTCAAAGTGGTCTGAAGGAGAAGCCAGTACAAAGAATCAGGATGGTATTTCTTGAAGTGGGTAAGGATCATTATATTGCATGTCGGTACAAATCCCAGTAAAGATTTTAAGCTCATTAGACCTTGCTGGGATGTAATGGGGAGGGTCTACAATTTTGTATTCACCTTTCCCCAAATGGGTCCCTGTTTCCAGCTCTCTTACCTGAACCTGCTTCTTTGGCTACAGGGAGGACTTTGGGTGAAATGCATCCCTCCTGTGACTGGACTGGAGAAACAAGAACAGAAGCATCCTGATCTCTCCACTCTACTATGCAGGCTTATGTACTCATAAAAATGGCAGTTATGGACCTATCTTCCACATGGGCTTTCACTAAACAGGACTCTGCCCATTTCCATCTGAGAAATGCTGAAGAGGAAAGGATGATTACTATATTTCTGACAACCTGGTTACAGGAACCAATGACTTTCAAAGATGTAGCTGTGGAGTTCACTCAGGACGAGTGGATGATGCTGGATTCTGCTCAAAGAAGTCTGTACAGAGATGTGATGTTGGAAAACTATAGAAATCTCACCTCCGTGGAATATCAATTGTGCAAGCTTACTGTGATCTCCCCATTGGATCAAGAAGAGATAAGGAATATGGAAAAGAGAATTCCCCAAGGCATCTGTCCAGACCAGAAGATTCTACCTAAAACCACAGAATCAACTGTGCAGAAAATTTTATGGGAGGAGCCATCCAGTGCAGTGAAAATGATAAAATTCACAATGCATAATTGGTCCTCCACATTAAAAGAAGACTGGGAATTCCATAAGATCAGAAAACAGTGTAAGATTCCAGGGGAACATTGGAGGCAAGTGACATATGCCCCAAAGAAAACAGTATCTCAGGAGCTATTCTGTGACGATCATGAATTAGAGGAAACCTCTAAACTTAGATCAAAACTTATTTTTTCACAGAGCATTTTCGCCAGTAAACATTGCCAAAAATGTTACTCAGAGATTGGATGTTTGAAACACAATTCAATCATAAACAATTATGTGAAAAACTCTGTAAGTGAGAAGCTCTATGAAAGTCATGAATGTGATACAACTCTGTGGCATCTTCAGAGAAATCAAACAGTACAAAAAGAGTACACATATTCTAAACATGGAATGCACTTCACACATAATATGTTTCACATACCTAACAATTTGCATATGGTACAGAATTCCTGTGAATGTAATAAAAATGAAACCCTGTGTCATCAATCATCCCTTAAGAAACAAGGACAAACTCATACTGAAAAGAAACATGAATGTAATCAATGTGGAAAAGCCTTCAAAAGGATTTCTAATCTTGCTTTACACAAGAAAAGTCACATGGGTGAGAAACAATATGAATGTAAAGAATGTGGTAAAGTGTTCAATGATTCCTCAACCTTAAGGAGACATATAAGAACTCACACTGGAGAGAAACCCTATGAATGTAATCAGTGTGGAAAAGCTTTCAGTCAAAAAACATCCCTTAAGGCTCACATGAGAACTCACACTGGAGAGAAACCTTATGAATGTAATCAGTGTGGAAAATCCTTTGGTACAAGCTCTTACCTTATAGTACACAAGAGAATACACACTGGAGAAAAACTCTATGAATGTGGTGAGTGTGGAAAAGCCTTCAACACGAGCTCTCACCTTAAAGTTCATAAGAAAATTCACACCGGAGAGAATCTTTATGAATGCAGTGACTGTGGGAAAGTTTTCAGTGGGCTCTCATCCCTTAGAATGCATGTAAGAACTCACACTGGAGAGAAACCCTATGAATGTAAGGAATGTAGGAAAGCCTTCAGTGTTTCCTCTTCCCTTAGGAGGCATGTGAGAATTCACACTGGAGAGAAACCCTATGAATGCATTCAATGTGGAAAAGCCTTCAGTCAGAGCTCTTCACTTATTATACACAAGAGAATTCATACTGAGAGAGAAACTGTGTAAGTGTTAACGAATGTAGAATTGCTGTTTTCATTGTCTTAAGGTGGATTGCAAGCTCCTTGTCTCAGTCTTTGTTCTCTAAAATAACCATTTAAGGTTATAAATGGCTCTTTCGTAATACAACATTTTGTTCTATAAATACTAATTACAACTGTTTTTGATCCATGGCTGTTTGGAATTAGGTATTTTTAATATGTGAGGTATGTATATTTTCAGTTATCTTTTTATTGTTGGTTCCTGGGTTAATTCCATTGTGTTCAAAGAATCCGGACTATATTTTACTGCTTTGTTGGTGTTTTTATGAAAGTTGTTTTCTGGCCCAGTGAGGCTGCTATTGCTAGCAGCCAACCAAACATTGAGCTCATCTTTCCTTACTAATGAATTCCATCTGGCCAAGAACAATAAGGTATGTGGTTATAGAACTCTTTGACTTCTTGTAGCTAAGGGTAGCCATATCATTCATTCCTGCTGATTAAAAAATAGACATATCACTGAGAACAAAACTATCTATCTTGTCCTCTACTTTTTGCACTTCATCTTTGTCCCTATGACTTGGCCGTTCCTGAAGCTGCTGAAAGAGCTATCTTGTGACCATGAAAATGACAACTGTGGCCAAGGGATGAAATAGAAGAAAGAGATCCCTGTTCCTCAAAGAAATCTTTAAATAGTTGTAGCAGCCCTGCACTGCTTGTATTTGGACATGTTTCTCTGTGAGAAAAATAAAGTTTTTTGTTTGTTCGTTTGTTTGTTTGAGATGGAGTCTCACTCTGTTGCCCAGGCTGGAGTGCAGTGGCACAATCTCAGCTCACTGCAGCCCCCACCTCCCAGATTCAAGTGATTCTCCTGCCTCAGCCTCCTGAGTACCTGGGATTACAGGTGCCCACCACCACGCCTGGCTAATTTTAGCATTTTTAATAGAGACGGGGTTTAACCATGTTGGCCAGGATGGTCTCAAACTGCTGACCTCAGGTGTTCCACCCACCTCAGCCTCCCAAAGTGTTAGCATTACAGGCATGAGCCACCTTGCCAGGCTGATAAAAATATGTTAGTTGATTTTTTTTTTTTTAAGTTTTTCAGACAGAGTCTCTGTCTCTCAGGCTAGAGTGCGGTGGTGTGGTCATGGCTCATTGCAGCCTCGACCTCCTGGGCTCAGGTGATCCACCACAGTCTCCTCAGTAGTTGGGATCACAAATGCATGCCACCATGCCTGGCTAATTTTAAAAATATATATTTTGTAGAGACAGGCTCTTCCTACATTGCTCAGGCTGTTCTTAAACTCCTGGGCTGAAGCAGTCCTCCTGCCTTTGCCTCCCAAAGTACTAGGATTACAGGCATGAGTCACCATGCCTGGCTTTTACTGATATTTTTTTAAAGCACTACATAAATACAGTCAACGCAGTCACGATATTGTAGAAAAACAGGTATATAGAGTTAAATGTTTTATGTTGGATGTACACATTTGAAGAGGAACATAAAAAAAAATATGGAAAAGGAATGTTGACAGAACTTTTATGCTTAAGCAGCAGAGGAAGATAGAGCCAAGATCACTGAAAGCAAGTGTTTAGAGCAGCAAAAAGAGTATCCCAACATTTCAGTGTTGGAACTACAGAAAGTTTTCAGATCGAGGGGAAGTTACAAATTTTAAATGCTAAATAAAGCATGAGATTTTGTTGCTTGGTCTTGCAGATACCAGATTAGTTCTAACAAAATACAGGAGCGGCATACGGTGGAAGAAAGAAGGCAGTGGCTGCTGTTGTAGCTATTCATGTTAGCTTCAGGATGGTGAGACATCCAGATGAAGTGGTTGGTATGCAATTCTAGAACTGAGGAGGTGTCTAGATAGAGATACAAATTTTAGTGACATCAGTAAAGAGACTATAACAAGTTTTGTGAAGGTGAATAAGAATGAAAAGAGAATGTCTGCCACCTACCCTGAAGATGTACATTTAAAGGAACCATAGTAGAGAGATAAGAAAACAAGAAGAGTGGAGTTTCACTGAACCAAGACAAACGAGTTTCAAAAAGGAAAGTGAAGTTGGCCAGGCGTGATGGTTCACACATGTAATCTTGGCACTTTGAGAGGCTGAGGCGGGCAGATCACAAGATCAGGAGATCAAGACCATCCTGGCCAACATGGTGAAACCCTGTTTCTACTAAAATACAAAAATTGGCTGGGTGTGGTGGCGTACATCTGTAGTCCCAGCTACTCAGGAGGCTGAGAGGCAGGAGAATCACTTGAACCCGGGAGGCTGAGGTTGCAGTGAGATGAGATCTCACCACTGCACTCCAGCATGGTGACAGAGCAGGACTTCGTCTCAAAAAAAAAAAAAGGTGAAGGTAACTTTTTAGTGTTAGGGATCAAATTAAATGAAGTCTAAAAAGGTAAACACATACAGCCATGTGAAGATCATTCGTGATTGCAGTTCAAAATAACTGGTACATTGAAGATGGTTGCTAGATTGGGCTGACTTTAGGAATCAATGAAGGGCAAAGAAGTAAAAACTGGATGTAGACAAGTTTGAATAATAGGAGAAATGGTAGTAGCTGGAGAGAGATTTGGAGTAAAGATAATATGTTTAAAATATGAAAAACTAGAACATGTTTGAATTCTAATGTGATGAATGTAGTATGGTGAGGTTTAATATGCAGCTTAGTAAAGTTTAATATAAGCTTCTGAGAATGGGGTGTCGCTGTTTAGAGCACAAACAAAAGGATTGGTGTTTGCCATGAGGCAGAGGGGTACTTCCACCATTCTCTCAGGACTAGAAAAATGGGTGGGTTGGTTTAAATTACCTGTTTGTTTCCTTACACCTAAGTTCACTGAGCAGTGGTCAGAATATGTGAACTATATAATGCTATTTTGTGTTTCCTAAGAACTACTGTGTGGCAGCCACTGCTAAGTACTAACTAAATATATATATTTTTTATTCTTTATGAATAGATTCTCAGTTTTGCTAACAGTAATATTGTGTTTAGCTACAAAACTACTTATCCCAACCCCTTTGTAGCCAAGAGATGCCATTTCTACTGTTCCTGGCCAATAAAATATAGATAGATGATTATAGGTTTCATAAGCAAGTAGCAAAGTCTTACATGAATGAGGAGAGGTCATTTAAATAAAAGATAGGACCAGGCACGGTGGCTCACGCCTGTAATCCTACCACTTTGGGAGGCTGAGGCGGGTGGATCATGAGGTCAGGAGATCGAGACCATCCTGGCTAACACGGTGAAACCCCATCTCTACTAAAAATACAAAAAATTAGCCAGGTGTGGTGGCGGGCACTGGTAATCCCAGCTACTCAGGAGGCTGAGGCAGGAGAATGGCATGAACCCAGGAGGTGGAGCTTGCAGTGAGCCAAGATTGCGCCACTGCACTCCAGCCTGGGCGACAGAGCGAGACTATCTCAAATAAATAAATAAATAAAAATAAAAGATAGCCAGGAAGAGAGGTAGAATGTGGTATAATTAGATGGTATGAGCCTGAAAGGAAGGACTGGTTTTTACCAGGCTGCAATGGTTAGAAGCAGTGTTAGGGAGCAAGGAAGATACTGGTCCCACTTCCAGCCTGTGGATATGTGGAATACATGGGAATAAGCCCCCTTGTGATGTGATTGTTGTCAGGGGTTTTTTGCTCCCCAGGGAACAGCCAAGTTTAATGAAAGGAAATGTTCAGGGAAATAGTTGAGGATATTAAGGGAGTTTATTAGGTGATTCTCAGAGGGCACCATGAAAGAATCTCCAGAAGGGCAGGGGTTTAGGGTTTGTGGCTTTGGCCTGAGAAATACAGAAGATTGTTATGACAGTATTGATAGGAAAAAAGATCAGACCAGGGCCATGACCAGTGAAAACAAAATTCAGAGGGAGTATAGGTTAGATCCCAGCAGTCTATAAGAAGATGATGGGTACTTAGCTTGCGGTGAGCCGAGATCGCGCCACTGCACTCCAGCCTGGGCGATAGAGCAAGACTCTGTCTCGAGAAAATGGTCCCAACTGCATGCGGTTCTTGGGTAAGATCATCTTGAGGAGTACTCAGCAAGGGATTGTACTTTGTTTGGTTGGGACTGGACTTTCACTCTAATTTTGGCCCAGTGATCTTGGAACAGATTGAGCATCTAAATCTGAACATCTGAAATTCAGCATGCTCCAAAACTTGAAACTATTTGTGCGCTGATGTGACTTTCAAAAGAAATGCCCGTTGGAGCATTTAAAATTTTGGATTTTCAGATTTGCGATGCTCAACTGGTAGGTATAATGCAAATATTTCAAAATTCAAAACACTTCTGGTCCCAGCATTTTGGATAAGGAATACTCATCCTGTACACCAGCAGGTAGACTCAGGCACGGTCTCGCCCGGCATCTCACCTGGATTTTATTGCAATAGCCTCCTAACTGGTTTCTCTGACTTGAATAGTACTTTGCTTTAGTATGTTTTTTATGCAGGTGCCATGGTATCCTATTAAAAAAAAAAAAAAACTTTGTGTTTTTTAATTATAAAACTAATACATGCATAGAAGAAAACAGTGTAAATAACTTCTGCCCTACACAGAAGGGAAACCCCAGATTCTGGTGCCTTAAAAAATTAATATTGTAGGTGAATGTGCATTCCGTCAGACTGTGTACATACAAACTTTTTCATTTTATAAAAATTGAGTTATACCTTTTATCCCACATCCTTTTTTTTTTTTTTTTTTTTTTGAGAAGGAGTTTCACTCTTGTTTCCCTGCTGGAGTGCAATGGCACGGTCTCTCGGCTCACGGCAACCTCTGCCTCCCGGGTTCAAGCGATTCTTCTGCCTCAGCTTCCCAAGTAGCTGGGATTACAGGTATGTGCCATCACTCCTGGCTAATTTTGTATTTGTAGTAGAGACGGGGTTTCTCGATGTTGGTCAAGCTGGTTTCAAACTCCCGACCTCAGGTGATCCGCCCATCTCACGCTTGCAAGTTGCTGGGATTACAAACATGAGGCCATCATCCCCAGCCTATCTGACATCTTTTTAAACATCTTTCTGTGTCAGTGCATGTAGTTCTATTTCATTTGTAATAGCTGCTTAGCATTTGATTATATGCTTGTACCATAATATAATCCATTTGCCTCCAGAGTTTTTATAACAATACTGCAATCAATAATATTGTTTATATCAGCTGTTCTCGACACTTCCCAGGGTGATCCATCTAAAGTACTAACCTGATCATACAACATTTCACTTTTAATCATCTTCTGGCATTTTTCTCCAATTAAGATAAAATCTTTTTACAAGACCTTCCTCAAACCCTTACTTGCCTTTTCAGGCCTCATCTCTTATTATTCCCTTTATCTTCACCATCTCCCTAACTTAACGTGTCCTGTTTATCCTTTAGGTATTGTATCCCTCATCTGCTTTAACAATACTTCTCACACTTTCACACTGTATTGCCTGTTTGTGTATTGTGCCCTCTACACTGTAAGTTTTTGTAAGGTGGGAACTTTGTCCAAATTTTTCATTGTTTTACTCTTACTACATGGCCCAGTGTAGGTGTTCAGTTAAACATTTACGGTTTTTCAACAAATTTTGTGCCTTTTCTTTTAGCATTCTAGTGGAAGTTTAACTTAAAAGCTATTTAAGTGATTGTGAGGTAAAAGTTGCAAGGAGCTGGGTGCAGTGGGTTGTGCCTGTAGTCCTATCTACTCTGGAGGCTGAGGTGGGAGGATTGTTTAAGCCCAGGAGTTTGAGACCAGCCTGAGTAACATGAGACTCCATTACAG